GGCCTGGGCCGATGGCCTGGCTTTGCCATAAGGAGGGCTGGCTATGGGAGCCGTGAGGCCTCATTGGCCTTGGTCACTCGGCCTTGCCTCTCCATCCCTAGCACACTCTGTCTTAGGTAGCCGACCCCGGCCACCAGCACCCCACAGACTAAGCGACTTCATGCCGCTCATAGTGCTGAGATAATGGGGGTGAGACCTCTCAGCTGGTTCTAGACGAAACCGATTACATAATTTTAGGGCCCAGAGCAAAATGGGCATGCAAGGCCCTTTGTTCAAAGACTGCTTGTGGTTTTTAAGAGCTATGACCTCTCTCTGTTGCCCAGGCTGGAGTGCAGTGGCGCCATCATAGCTCACTGCAGCCTTGAACTCCTGGGCTCAAGTGGTCTTCCCCACTCAGCCTCTCGATTAGCTGGGACTAGAGGTATGCACCACCACACCTGGTTAATTTTTTTTTTAGTAGCGGTAGTATCTCGCCGTATTGCCTAGGCTGATCTCAAACTGTAGCCTCAAGTGATCCACGTACCTCAGCCTCTTGAGTAGCTGGGACTACAGGCGTGCACCACCACGCCCAGCTAATTTTTTTGATTTTTGGGAAAGACAAGGTCTTGCTATGTTTCCGAGACTGGTCTGAAACTCATAGCCTCAAGCAGCTCTCCCCTCTTGGCTTCCCAAAGTGCTGAGATTACAGGTGTGAGCTAGCACGCCCAGCCTATTTTATTTTTTCATTATTGAAAGATAATATGCCAGACACAGTGGCTCATGTCTGTAATTCCAGCATTTGGGGAGGCTGAGGCAGGAGGATCACTTTGGACCCAGAGCTTGAGACCATCTGGGCAATGTAGCAAGACCCCATCTTGCTACATTAAAAGTAATAAAAAGAAATCATATTATATTAAATTACATTAATTTGCAAGATCCCAGTGGGATGAAAGGTAGTAAGTGAGGTTGGGGATGGGTCACCTAGGGTCGATGCCCAGCCCTAATTTTTATATTTTATATTTCTTATAGAGATGAGCTTTCTCTCTATTGCTAAGGCTAGTCTCAGACTCCTGATCTCAAGTGATCCACTGCCCCTCGGTCCCCTGAAGGGCTGGGATTACAAGCATGAACCACCATGCCTGGCCAATCTATTTATTCTCGAGTGAGCTTTTCTAGTTTGTGTCTTCCAGAGAATTTGTTCATTTCATCTAAGTTGTCAAATTTATTGGCATAAAGTTGTTTACAGATCTCCATTTTAATATCTGTAGAATCTGAGTACCCTGGTAGTTTTCTTCATGTTTCTTGTGTTTGGGGATTTTGAACTTTTTGGAGCTGTTGGCTTATAGTTTTTATCAAGTTTGAAAATTTGGGGCCATTGTTTCTTCACATATTTTTTAGTTACCCCTTTTTCTCCTTGCCTTTACGTACTCGTATATATTAGGCTGCTTAATATATCAGTGAGTGTTGTCCCAACACTCACTGATAATCTGTAAAAGAGAAATTTTTTTTTTTTTTTAGACAGGGTTTCATTCCATTGCCTGGGCTGGAGTGCAGTGATGCAATCTCAGCTCACTGCAAACTCCACCTCTCAGGCTCAAGCAGTTCTCCTGCCTCAGCCTCTCAAGTAGCTGGTACTACAGGTGCACGCCACCATGCCCAGCAAATTTTTGTACTTTTTGTTGAGATGGAGGCTTCATGATGTTGCCCAGGCTGGTCTCGAAATCCTGGGCTCAAGTGATCTGCCTGTCTGGGCTTCCCAAAGTGCTGGGATTACAGGCGTGAGCCACTGCACCCCACCCTTAAATTATTTTTTTTTAATTATTTTTTTTTTTTTTTTGAGATGGAGTCTTGTTCTGTCACCCAGGCTGGAGTGCAGTGGCATGATCTCAGCTCACTGCAAACTCCACCTCCCGGTTCAAGTGATTATTCTGCCTCAGCCTCCTGAGTAGCTGGGACTACAGGTGTATGCCATCAAGCCCGGCTAATTTTTGTATTTTTAGTAGAGACAGGGTTTCACCATATTTGCCAGACTGGTCTCGAACTCCTGACCTTGTGATCTGCCCATCTCGGCCTCCCAAAGTGCTGGGATTACAGGCAAGAGCCACCACGCCCGGCTCATTTTTTCTTTACATCTTTCAATGTGGATAGTTTCTATTGCCATCCCTTCACATCATTATTCATTTTCTTCTTCAATGTCTAATCTGTCCTTAATCCCATCTGGTGTATTTTTTTTATCTCTAGAAGTTCTGTTTGTTTATATACACATTTTTTCCATGTTTTTATTGAATTATTGCACATACAGAACACAGTTATAGAAACTATTTTGGACTGGATGTGGTGGCTCATACCTGTAATGCCAGCACTTTGGGAGGCTGAGGCAGGAGGATCCCTTGAGGCCCAGAGTTTAAGACCAACTTGGGCAGCATAGTGAGACCCATGTCTCTAAAAAAAAAAAACTTTTAAATAATTGGCTAGGCACGGTGGCTCACGCCTGCAATCCCAGCATTTTGGGAGGCCAAGGCGGGTGGATTACCTGAGGTCAGGAGTTTGAGACGAGCCTGGCCAACATGGTGAAACCCCGTCTCTACTAAAAATACAAAAATTAGCCGGGTAGTGGCGCGTGCATGTAATCCCAGCTACTCGAGAGGCTGAGGCAGGAGAATTGCTTGAGCCTGGGAGACAGAGGTTGCAGTGAGCCGAGATCGTGCCACTGCACTCCAGCCTGGCTAACAGAGCGAGACTCTGTCTCAAATAATAATAATAATAAATAAAAGAAAAACGGAATGCAAAAATTCCCAGCACCAAACAAGGCAACATTCACAACATCTGACATGAATCATTCTTGTCTTTTTAAAATAATTTTTCTAGCTAAGAATATGTGACTGTACATTTTATTTTCTATTGAAGGACTTCAGTTGTCTGATTCATAAATTAAACTTCATTAAATTCATAAATTAAACTTCCCGATTACTTAAGAAATTCCATAAATCTAATAAATTAAATGTACATTTTTTAAAACTTCCCCACACGTAGATGGTTCAACGAGTCTAATTAAATGTTTACATGTGTTGAATCTTAAATTCTTTTAAATGTTTTAACAGTTTACAACCTTATAAGATTCTAATGGAAAATCACAAATCTAAATCAACCACTCACTTATATATTTCAAATTGCGATTACAATGTGGGCATTTTTTTTTTTTTTTTTTTTTTTTTTGAGTCTTGCGCTGTCACCCAGGCTGGAGTACAGTGGTGTGATCTCGGCTCACTGCAACCTCTGACTCCCAGGTTCAAGTGATTCTTATGCCTCAGCCTCCCAAGCAGTTGGCACTATAGGCGCACATGCCACCATGCCCTAATTTTTGTGTTTTTAGTAGAGGCAGGGTTTTGCCATATTGGCTAGGCTGGTCTCGAACTCCTGACCTTGTGATCCGCCTGCCTCAGCTTCCCAAAGTGTTGGGATTACAGGCATGAGCCACCACGCCCAGTCTGTTAGCATGATATTCTAACAGGTCATATTCTCTCTTTTAAAAAATATCTATTTATTTGTTTATTTATTTATTTATTTATTTTAGAGACAAGGTCTCACTCTGTCACCCAGGCTGGAGTGCAGTGGTGCCATCATAGCTCATTATAAACATGATCTCGTGGGCTTAAGTGATCCTCCCACCTCAGCCTCCCGAGTAGCTGGGACTACAGGCGCGTGCCACCATCCCCAGCTAATTTTTATAAAATTTTGTAGAGACAGGGTCTCACTCTGTCACCTAGGCTGGAGTGCGGTGGTGCAATCATAGCTCACTGTAGCCTTGACCTCCTGGGCTCAAGCGATCCACTCCCCTCAGCCTCCCAAAGTGCTGGAACTACGGGCACATGCCACCTGCACAATTTGACATTGCTGGACCTCTCCCAGCCTGGGGAGCAAACCCCCTGCCCCATCTTCTTGCTTTACTTTCTGGGTCAGGATCCTCATGGCTGATTTTGAACTGAAATCAGCAAGCTGGTTCAGGGACCAGGGACTTTCCAGGGCAGGGAGTAGAGACTCAGAGGCTTCAAGAGAATGAAGGAGGATCGTGACTCTGGGAAACTAACTTCCCTTTGTCTCTTTCAGACCTCAGTGCGAACAGGGCTGTGTGGGATGGAGGAGGGTGCATCTCCCAAGGGGACCTTTGGGACCCTCAGTGCCAGCAGCTGTCTCAGAGCTTTGAGAAAGGTAAGGCAACGGACTCCAAGATCTGGGAAGATGGCTTACCTGCAAAAGGGCTAGAGCGACCCCTGCCAGGCTGGTGAAGCTGCCACATTTTAGTGTGTGATGGCTTGTGATCTGGGGCCAGGAATTATGGGCAGGCATGGAATCACCCAAGCAGGGACTGTGGAAGAAAGGGGTTCAGGTTGAGTTCAATTCCTAACAGTGTAGAAGGGAAGGCAGAAGAGACTAAAACACTGGAGAAACTGATTCCACTTCATCCTGAAAATGAATAATGACATCACTCATCTGAACACATTTTCAGTAAAAAGCCCAACTGAAACAATCACTCCTGACATAGAGAACCCGAAGAAACTCCTAAAGAAAACATCATTGTATCTTAAACAGGTTCTGTGGCGAACATCACCATAGGCACAACACCTACAAACTTCGTGGAGCAAGGAATATCTTTGAGAGACAGCGCCAACCCTGAGATGACCTTGATTGAGTACAGTGTGGATTCAGACACTTCTGGTGTCTCCAGTGACAGGAGGACACGAACACAAATCATAAAAACTTCGGAATCTACCAGTGACGCCACTACACCTTTCCCCGGTTCTACTGAAGACACTTCATCTCCTAAAACGCCCGAAGGCACCAACATGTGCATGTCAACACTGACTGAAGAAAGCACTTCATCAACAACGGATTTGGTCAGCACTGCACCTCAGAGCAGTTCAGAGGCGAGCACGTCTTTAACACCTGTGGTTGATATGAGCACACCTCTGACCACTTCTGTTCAGGCCAGTTCATGTCCTACTATTCCTGAAAGCACCACCATGCCCAAATCAACTGACAGTGAAGGAAGTACTCCATTATCAATTGTGCCTGTCAGCACCACGCCGGTGGCCACTTCTGAGGCTAGTACCCTTTCAACAACTCCTGTTGACACCAGCACACCTGTGAGCATTTCTACTGAAGCAAGTTCTTCTCCTACAAGTGCTGAAAGTTCCAGCATGCCAACCTCAACTCCTAGTGAAGGAAGCACTCAATTAACAATTATGCCTGTCAGCACCACGCTGGTGGCCAGTTCTGAGGCTAGTACCCTTTCGACAAATCCTCTTGACACCAGCACACCTGGGAACACTTTCAGTGAAGCCAGTTCATCTCCTACAGCTGCTGACGGTACCAGCATGCCAACCTCAACTCCTAGTGAAGAAAGCACTCCATTAACAAGTCTGGTGATCAGCAACACGCCGGTTGCCAGTTCTGAGGCTGGCACCCTTTCAACAATTCCTGTTGATACCAGCACACCAGTGACCACTTCTACTGAAGCTCGTTCACCTCATACAACTGCTGAAAGCAGCGGGATACCAATCTCAGCTCCTAGTGAAGAGAGCACCCCATTAACAAGTATGACAGTGGGCACCACGCTGGTGGCCAGTTCCGTGGCTCACACACTTTCAACAACTCCTATGGACAGCAGCACCCCTGTGACCACCTCCACCAAAGCCAGTTCACCTCGTACAACTGTTGAAAGTACCAGCATACCAATCTCAACTCCTAGTGAAGGAAGCACTCCATTAACAAGTATGCCAGTCAGCACCACACCGGTGGCCAGTTCTGAGGCTACCACCCTTTCAACATCTCCTGCTGACTCAAACATTGCTGTGACCACTTCTAGTCAAGTCAGTTCTTCTAGTACAATTGCTAAATCTACTAGCATGCCAACCTCAATTCCTAGTGAAGGAAGCACTCCATTGACAAGTATGCCTCTCAACACCACGCCAGTGGCCAGTTCTGAGGCTAGCACCCTTTCAACAACCTCTGTTGACAAGAGCAAACCTGTCATCACTGCTACTGAAGCCACTTCACCTCCTACAATTGCTGAAGGTACCAGCAGGCCAACCTCACCTCTCAGTGAAGGAAGCACTCCATTCACAAGTATACCTGTCAGCACCACACTGCAGGCCAGTTCTGAGGCTAGCACCCTTTCAACAACTCCTGTTGACACCAGCTCACCAGTGACCACTTCAACTGTAGCCAGTTCATCTCCTAGAACTTCTGAAGGTACCAGCATGCCAACCTCAACTCCTCGTGAAGGAAGCACTCCATTAACAAGTATGACAGTGGGCACCACGCAGGTGGCCAGTTCTGAGGCTAGCACCCTTTCAACAACTCCTGTTGACACCAGCACACCCTTGAGCACTTCAACTGTAGCCAGTTCATCTCCTACAACTGCTGAAGGCACGAGCATGCCAACCTCAACTCCTAGTCAAGGAAGCACTCCATTATCAAGTATGACAGTGGGCACCACGCAGGTGGCCAGTTCTGAGGCTAGCACCTTTTCAACAACTCCTGTTGACTCCAGCACCCCTGTGATCACTTCTACTGAAGCCAGTTCATCTGCTACAACTGGCAAAGTTACCAGCATGCCAACCTCACCTCCTAGTGAAGCAAGCACCCCATTAACAAGTATGCCTGTCAGCACCACGCCACTGTCCATTTCTGAGGCTAGTAACCTTTCAGCAACTCCTGTTGTCACTGGCACAACTGTGATCATTTCTACTCAAGCCAGTTCAGCTACAACTGCTGAAGGTACCAGCATGAAAACCTCACCTCCCATTGAAGGAAGCACTCCAGGAACAATTATGCCTGTCAGCACCATGCTGCCTGCCAGTTCTGAGGCCAGCACCCATGAAACAACTGCTGTTGACAGCAGCATACCTGTGACCATTTCTACTGCAGCCACTTCGTCTCGTACAAGTGCTGAGGGTACCAGCATGTCAACCTCAACTCTTAGTCCAGGAAGCACTCCAGTAACAATTATGACATTAGGCACCACACCGGTGGCCAGTTCTGAGGCTACCACCTTTTCAACAACTCCTGTTGACTCCAGCATTGCTGTGACCATTTCTAGTCAAGTCAGTTCTTCTACTACAATTGCTGAAGCTACTAGCATGCCAACCTCAATTCCTAGTGAAGGAAGCACTCCATTGACAAATATTCCTCTCAGCACCATGTCAGTGGCCAGTTCTGAGGCTAGCACCCTTTCAACAACCTCTGTTGACACGAGCAAACCTGTCATCATTGCTACCGAAGCCACTTCAACTCCTACAATTGCTGAAGGTACCAGCAGGCCAATCTCACCTCCCAATGAAGGAAGCACTCCATTCACAAGTATACCTGTCAGCACCACACTGCAGGCCAGTTCTGAGGCTAGCACCCTTTCAACAACTCCTGTTGACACCAGCTCACCAGTGACGACTTCAACTGCAGCCAGTTCATCTCCTAGAACTTCTGAAGGTACCAGCATGCCAACCTCAACTCCTCGTGAAGGAAGCACTCCATTAACAAGTATGACAGTGGGCTCCACGCCGGTGGCCAGTTCTGAGGCTAGCACCCTTTCACCAACTCCTATTGACACCAGCACACCGTTGACTACTTCAACTGTAGCCAGTTCATCTCCTACAACTGCTGAAGGCACGAGCATGCCAACCTCAACTCCTAGTCAAGGTAGCACTCCATTAACAAGTATGACAGTGGGCACCACGCAGGTGGCCAGTTCTGAGGCTAGCACCTTTTCAACAACTCCTGTTGATGCCAGCACCCCTGTGATCACTTCTACTGAAGTCAGCTCATCTCCTACGACTGGCAAAGCTACCAGCATGCCAACCTCACCTCCTAGTGAAGCAAGCACTCCATTAACAAGTATGCCTGTCAGCACCACGCCACTGTCCAGTTCTGAGGCTAGCAACCTTTCAGCAACTCCTGTTGTCACTGGCACAACTGTGATAATTTCTACTCAAGCCAGTTTAGCTACAACTTCTGAAGGTACCAGCATGAAAATCTCATCTCCCAGTGTAAGAAGCACTCCAGTAACAATTATGCCTGTCGGCACCACGCTGCCTGCGAGTTCTGAGGCCAGCACCCATTCAACAACTCCTGTTGACACCAGCATACCTGTGACCATTTCTACTGAAGCCAGTTCATCTCGTACAAGTGCTGAAGGTACCCGCATGCCAACCTCAACTCCTAGTCGAGGAAGCACTCCAGTAACAACTATGTCATTGGGCACCACACTGGTGGCCAGTTCTGAGGCTAGCACCCTTTCAACAACTCCTGTTGACTCCTACTTTCCTGTGACCACTTCTAGTGAAGCCAGTTCTTCTACTACAATTGCTGAAGCTACTAGCATGCCAACCTCAATTCCTAGTGAAGGAAGCACTCCATTGACAAGTATGCCTCTCAGCACCTCACCAGTGGCCAATTCAGAGTCTAGCACCCTTTCATCTACCTCTGTTGAAACAAACAAACCTGTGATCATTGCTACTGAAGCCAGTTCATCTCCTACAATTGCTGAAGGTACCACGATGCCAACCTCATCACCTAGTGAAGGAAGCACTCGATTCACAAGTATACCTGTCAGCATGACACCACAGGCCAGTTCTGAGGCTAGCACCCTTTCAACAACTCCTGTTGACAACAGCTCACCTGTGACCACTTCAGCTGAAGCCAGTTCATCTCCTACAACACCTGAAGGTACGAGCATGCCAACCTCAACTCCTAGTCAAGGAAGCACTCCAGTAACAGGTGTGCCTGTCAGCACCAGGCCGGTGGCCAGTTCTGAGGCTAGCACCCTTTCAACATCTCCTGTTGACACCAACACATCTGTTACCATTTCTACTGAAGCCAGTTCATCTACAACTGCCATAGGTACCAGCATGCCAACCTCAACTCCTCGTGAAGGAAGCACTCCATTAACAAGTATGACAGTGGGCACCACGCAGGTGGCCAGTTCTGAGGCTAGCACCCTTTCAACAACTCCTGTTCACACCAGCACACCTGTGACCACTTCGACTGAAGCCGGTTCATCTCCTACAACTACTGAAGGTACCAGCATGCCAACCTCAACTGCTAGTCAAGGAAGCACTCCATTAACAAGTATACCTGTCAGTACCACACTGCTGGCCAGTTCTGAGGTTGACACTTTTGCAACCACTCCTGTTGACTTCAACACTCCTGTGACCACTTCTACTGAAGCCACTTCATCTGCTACAACTGGCGAAGGTACCAGCATGTCAACCTCATCTCCTAGTGAAGGAAGCACTCCAGTAACAAGTATGCCTGTCAGCACCAAGCTGCTGGTCAATTCTGAGGCTAGCACCCTTTCAACAAGTCCTGTTGACACCAGCACACCTGTGACCACTTCAACTGAATCCAATTCTTCCCCTACAACTGCTGAAGTTACCAGCATACCAACCTCAACTCCTAGGCAAGGAAGCACTCCATTGACAAGTATACCTGTCAGCACCAGTCTGGCATCCAGTTTTGAGGCTAGCACCCTTTCAACAACTCCTGTTGACACCAGCACACCTGTCACTACTTCCTCTGAAGCCAGTTCATCTCCTGCAACTGCTGGAGGTACCAGCATGCCAATCTCACCTACCAGTGAAGGAAACACTCCATTGACAGCTGTGCCTTTCGGTACCACGCCGGTGGCCAGTTCTCGGCCTAGCACCCTTTCAACATCTCCTGTTAACACCATCAAACCTGTGACCACTTTTACTGAAGCTAATTCATCTCCTACAAGTGCTGAAGGTACCAGCATGTCAACCTCAACTCCTAGTGGAGAAAGCACTGGATTAACAAGTATTACTGTCAACCCCACGCCAGTGACCATTTCTGAGGCTAGCACCCTTTCAACAACTCCTTTTGGCTCCAAAACTCTTGTTACCACTTCTACTCAAGCCAGTTCATCTCCAGCAACTCTTCAGTTCACCACTATTCTTAAGTCTACTCCAAGTGAAGGAAGCACTTCATTAACAACTATGCCCCTCAGCAGCACACATGTGACCAGTTCTGAGGCTAGCACACCTTCCACACTTTCTGTTGACACCAGCACACCTGTGACTACTTCTACTCAAGCTAGTTCAACTAATACAATTCCTGAAGTTATCACCATGCCAATATCAACTCCTAGTGAAGGAAGCACTCCATTAACAATTATGCCTGTCAGCAACATATCGGTGACCATTTCTGATCCTAACACACCTTCAACACCTCCTGTTGACACCAGCACACCTCTGACTACTTCTATCCAAGTCAGTTCATCTCCTACAACTCCTGAAGGGACCAGGATGCCAATCTCGACTCCTAGTGAAGGAAGCACCCCATTAACAACTATTTCTGTTAGCACCACACGTGTGACCAGTTCTGCGGGCAGCACGCTTTCAACACCTTCTGTTGACACCAGCACATCTGTGACCACTTCTATCCAAGTCAGTTCATCTGCTACAACTCCTGAAGGTACCAGTATTCCAACCTCGACTCCTAGTGAAGGAAACACTCCATTAACAACTATTCCTGTCAGTACCACACATGTGACCAGTTCTGAGGGCAGCACCTGTTCAACACTTTCTGTAGACACCAGCACACCTGTCACCACTTCTACCCGTGTCAGTTCATCTCCTACCACTCCTGAAGTCACCACCATGCCATTCTCAACTTCTAGTGTTGGAAGCACTCCATTAACAACTATTTCTGTCAGCACCACACGTGTGACTAGTTCTGCGGGCAGCATGCTTTCAACACCTTCGGTTGACACCAACACATTTGTGACCACTTCTACCCAAGTCAGTTCATCTCCTACAACTCCTGAAGTCACCACCATGCCAATCTCTACACCTAGTGAAGGAAGCACTCCATTAACAACTATTCCTGTCAGCACCACACGTGTGGCCAGTTCTGAGGGCAGCACCCTTTCAACACCTTCTGTTGACACCAGCACACCTGTGACCACTTCTATCCAAGTCAGTTCATCTGCTACAACTCCTGAAGGTACCAGTATGGCAACCTCGACTCCTAGTGAAGGAAGCACTCCATTAACAACTATTCCTGTCAACACCACACCTGTGACTAGTTCTGCAGGGAACATGCTTTCAACACCTTCGATTGACACCAGCACATCTGTGACCACTTCCACCCAAGTCAGTTCATCTCCTACAACTCCTGAAGTCACCACCATGCCAATCTCTACTCCTAGTGACAGAAGCACTCCATTAACAACTATTCCTCTCAGCACCACACGTGTGACCAGTTCTGAGGGCAGTACCCTCTCAACACCTTCTGCTGACACCAGCACACCTGTGACCACTTCTATCCAAGTCAATGCATCTCCTACGACTCCTGAAGTAACCACCATGCCAATCTCTACTCCTAGTGAAGGAAGCACTCCATTAACCACTAGTCCTGTCAGCACCACACGTGTGACCAGTTCTGAGGGCAGCACCCATTCAACACCTTCTGTTGACACCAGCACACCTGTGACCACTTCCACCCAAGTCAGTTCATCTCCTACCACTCCTGAAGTCACCACCATGCCAATCTCGACTCCTAGTGAAGGAAGCACTCCATTAACAACTATTCCTGTCAGCACCACACGTGTGACCAGTTCTGAGGGCAGCACCTTTCAACACCTTCTGTTGACACCAGCACACCTGTGACCACTTCTACCAAGTCAGTTCATCTCCTACAACTCCTGAAGTACCAGTATGCCAATCTCGACTCCTAGTGAAGGAAGCACTCCATTAACAATTTCCTGTCGCACCACACGGGACCATTCTGATCAGCACCTTCAACACCTCCTGTTGACACCAGCACACCTGTGACCACTTCTACCAGTCAGTTCATCTCCTACAACTCCTGAAGTCACACATGCCAATCTCGACTCCTAGTGAAGGAAGCACTCCATTAACAACTATTCCTGTCAGCACCACACCTGTGACCGTTCTGAGGCAGCACCCTTTCAACACTTCTGTTGACACCACACCTGGACCACTTCTACCCAGTCAGTTCATCTCCTACAACTCCTGAAGTCACCACCATGCCAATCTCGACTCCTAGTGAAGGAAGCACTCCATTAACAACTATTCCTGTCAGCACCACACGTGTGACCAGTTCTGAGGGCAGCACCTTTCAACACCTTCTGTTGACACCAGCACACCTGGACCACTTCTACCAATCAGTTCATCCCTACAACTCCTGAATACACCATGCCAATCTCTACCCTAGTGAAGAAGCACTCCATTAACACTTCCTGTCAGCACCACACTGTGACCAGTTCTGAGGCAGCACCCTTTCAACACCTTCTGTTGACACCAGCACACCTGACCACTTCTACCAAGTCAGTTCATCCCTACACTCCTGAAGGTAATGCAATCTCGACTCCTGTGAAGGAAGCACTCCATTAACAATTTTGCCTGTCAGCACCACATCGGTGACCCTTTCTGATCTAGCACACCTTCAACACCTCCTGTTGACACCAGCACACCTGTGACCACTTCTACCAAGTCAGTTCATCTGCTACAACTCCTGAATACCACCATGCCAATCCTACTCCTAGTGAAGGAAGCACTCCATTACAACTATTCCTGTCAGCACACTGTGACCAGTTCTGAGGCAGCACCTTTCAACACCTTCTGTTGACACCAGCACACCTGTGACCACTTCTACCGAGTCATTCATCTCCTACCATCCTGAAGTCACCACCATGCCATCTCAACTCCTAGTGTACGAAGCACTCCATTAACAACTATTCCTGTCAGCACCACACATGTGACCAGTTCTGAGGGCAGCACCCTTTCAACACCTTCTGTTGACACCAGCACACCTGTGACCACTTCTATCCAAGTCAGTTCATCTGCTACAACTCCTGAAGGTACCAGTATGCCAACCTCGACTCCTAGTGAAGGAAGCACTCCATTAACAACTATTCCTGTCAGCACCACACCTGTGACCAGTTCTGCGGACAGCATGCTTTCAACACCTTCAGTTTACACCAGCACATCTGTGACCACTTCTACCCAAGTCAGGTCATCTCCTACAACTCCTGAAGATACCAGTATGCCAAACTTGACTCCTAGTGAAGGAAGCACTCCATTAACAATTTTGCCTGTCAGCACCACCTCAGAGACCATTTCTGATCCTAGCACACCTTCAACACCTCCTGTTGACACCAGCACACCTGTGACCACTTCTACCCACATCAGTTCATCTCCTACAACTCCTGAAGTCACCACCATGCCAATCTCGACTGCTAGTGAAGGAAGCACTCCATTAACAACTATTCCTGTCAGCACCACACGTGTGACCAGTTCTGAGGGTAGCACCCTTTCAACACTTTCTGTTGACACCACCACACCTGCGACCACTTCTACCCTGGTCAGTTCATCTCCTACAACTCCTGAAGTCATCACCATGCCAATCTCTACTCCTAGTGAAGGAAGCACTCCATTAACAACTATTCCTGTCAGCACCACACGTGTGACCAGTTCTGAGGGCAGCACCCTTTCAACACTTTCTGTTGACACCACCACACCTGCAACCACTTCTACCCACATCAGTTCATCACCTACAACTCCTGAAATCACCACCATGCCAATCCCTACTCCTAGTGAAGGTAGCACTCCATTAGCAACTATTCCTGTCAGCACTACTAGTCTGACCAGTTCTGAGGGTAGCACCATTTCAACACCTTCTGTTGATATCAGCACACCTGTGACCACTTCTATCCAAGTCAGTTCATCTGCTACAACTCCTGAAGGTACCAGTATGGCAACCTCGACTCCTAGTGAAGGAAGCACTCCATTAACAACTATTCCTGTCAGCACCACACCTGTGACCAGTTCTGCGGACAGCATGCTTTCAACAACTTCAGTTTACACCAGCACATCTGTGACCACTTCTACCCAGTCAGTTCATCTCCTACAACTCCTGAAGTCACCACATGCCAATCTCTACTCCTAGTGACGAAGCACTCCATTAACAACTATTCTGTCAGCACCCACGTGTGACCAGTTCTGAGGCAGCACCCTTTCAACACCTTCTGTTGACACCAGCACACCTGTGACCACTTCTACCAAGTCAGTTCATCTCTACAACTCCTGAAGTACCAGATGCAACTCGATCTAGTGAAGGAAGCACTCCATTAACAACTATTCCTGTCAGCACCACGTGTGACCAGTTCTGAGGGCAGCACCTTTCAACCTTCTGTTGACACCAGCACACCTGTGACCACTTCTACCCGTCAGTTCATCTCTACAACTCCTGAAGTCACCACCATGCCAATCTCTACTCCTAGTGAAGGAAGCACTCCATTAACACTATTCCTGTCAGCACACCTGGACCATTCTGGGAGCACCTTCAACCTTCTGTTGACACCACACACCTGACCACTTCACCAGTCAGTTCATCTCCTACACTCCTGAAGTACATTGCCAATCTCGACTCTTAGTGAAGGAAGCACTCCATTAACAACTATTCCTGTCAGCACCACACATGTGACCAGTTCTGAGGGCAGCACCCTTTCAACACCTTCTGTTGACACCAGCACACCTGTGACCACTTCTACCCAAGTCAGTTCATCTCCTACAACTCCTGAAGGTACCAGTATGCCAATCTCTACTCCTAGTGAAGGAAGCACTCCATTAACAATTTTGCCTGTCAGCACCACATCGGTGACCCTTTCTGATCTTAGCACCCTTCAACACCTCCTGTTGACACCAGCACACCTGTGACCACTTCTACAAGAGTCAGTTCATCTCCTACCACTCCTGAAGTCACCACCATGCCAATCTCTACTCCTAGTGTACGAAGCACTCCATTAACAACTATTCCTGTCAGCACCACACATGTGACCAGTTCTGAGGGCAGCACCCTTTCAACATCTTCTTTTGACACCAGCATACCTGTGACCACTTCTACCCAAATCAGTTCATCTGCTACAACTCCTGAAGGTACCAGTATGGCAACCTCGACTCCTAGTGAAGGAAGCACTCCATTAACAACTATTCCTGTCAGTACCACACGTGTGACCAGTTCTGCGGGCAGCATGCTTTCAACACCTTCTGTTGACACCAGCACACCTGTGACCACTTCTACCCAAGTCAGTTCATCTCCTACAACTCCTGAAGATACCAGTATGCCAATCTCGACTCCTGGTGAAGGAAGCACTCCATTAACAATTTTGCCTGTCAGCACCACATCGGAGACCATTTCTGATCCTAGCACACCTTCAACACCTCCTGTTGACACCAGCACACCTGTGACCACTTCTACCCACGTCAGTTCATCTTCTACAACTCCTGAAGTCACCACCATGCCAATCTCGACTCCTAGTGAAGGAAGCACTCCATTAACAACTATTCCTGTCAGCACCACACCTGTGACCGGTTCTGAGGGCAGCACCCTTTCAACAGTTTCTGTTGACACCACCACACCTGTGACCACTTCTACTCATGTCAGTTCATCTCCTACAACTCCTGAAGTCACCACCATGCCAATCTCGACTCCTAGTGAAGGAAGCACTCCATTAACAACTATTCCTGTCAGCACCACACGTGTGACCAGTTCTGAGGGCAGCACCCTTTCCACACTTTCTGTTGACACCACCACACCTGCGACCACTTCTACCCACATCAGTTCATCACCTACAACTCCTGAAATCACCACCATGCCAATCTCTACACCTAGTGAAGAAAGCACTCCATTAACCACTATTCCTGTCAGCACCACACATGTGACCAGTTCTGAGGGCAGCACCCTTTCAACACCTTCTGTTGACACCAGCACACCTGTGACCACTTCTACCCAAGTCAGTTCATCTCCTACAACTCCTGAAGGTATGCCAATCTCGACTCCTGGTGAAGGAAGCACTCCATTAACAATTTTGCCTGTCAGCACCACATCGGTGACCCTTTCTGATCCTAGCACACCTTCAACACCTCCTGTTGACACCAGCACACCTGTGACCACTTCTACCCACGTCAGTTCATCTGCTACAACTCCTGAAATCACCACCATGCCAATCCCTACTCCTAGTGAAGGAAGCACTCCATTAGCAACTATTCCTGTCAGCACTACTAGTCTGACCAGTTCTGAGGGTAGCACCATTTCAACACCTTCTGTTGACATCAGCACACCTGTGACCACTTCTACACGAGTCACTTCATCTCCTACCATTCCTGAAGTCACCACCATGCCAATCTCAACTCCTAGTGTACGAAGCACTCCATTAACAACTATTCCTGTCAGCACCACACATGTGACCAGTTCTGAGGGCAGCACCCTTTCAACACCTTCTGTTGACACCAGCACACCTGTGACCACTTCTATGCAAGTCAGTTCATCTGCTACAACTCCTGAAGGTACCAGTATGGCAACCTCGACTCCTAGTGAAGGAAGCACTCCATTAACAACTATTCCTCTCAGCACCACACCTGTGACGAGTTCTGGACAGCAGCTTCAACACTTCGTTACACCAGCACATCTGTGACAACTTCTACCCAAGTCAGTTCATCTCCTACAACTCCTGAAGTCACCACCATGCCAATCTCTACTCCTAGTGAAGGAAGCACTCCATTAACCACTATTCCTGTCAGCACTACACGTGTGACCAGTTCTCAGGGTAGCACCCTTTCAACACCTTCTGTTGAAACCAGCACACCTGTGACCACTTCTATCCAAATCAGTTCATCTCCTACAACTCCTGAAGGTACTAGTATGCCAATCTCGACTCCTAGTGAAGGAAGCACTCCATTAACAATTTTGCCTGTCAGCACCACACGTGTGACCAGTTCTGAGGGCAGCACCCTTTCAATACCTTCTGTTGACACTAGCACACCTGTGACCACTTCTACCCAAGTCAGTTCATCTCCTACAACTCCTGAAGGTACCAGTATGCCAATCTCGACTCCTAGTGAAGGAAGCACTCCATTAACAATTTTGCCTGTCAGCACCACATCGGTGACCCTTTCTGATCCTAGCACACCTTCAACACCTCCTGTTGACACCAGCACACCTGTGACCACTTCTACAAGAGTCAGTTCATCTCCTACAACTCCTGAAGTCACCACCATGCCAATCTCTACTCCTAGTGTACGAAGCACTCAATTAACAACTATTCCTGTCAGCACCACACATGTGACCAGTTCTGAGGGCAGCACCCTTTCAACACCTTCTGTTGACACCAGCATACCTGTGACCACTTCTACCCAAATCAGTTCATCTACTACAACTCCTGAAGGTACCACTATGGCAACCTCGACTCCTAGTGAAGGAAGCACTCCATTAACAACTATTCCTGTCAGCACCACACGTGTGACCAGTTCTGCGGGCAGCATGCTTTCAACACCTTCTGTTGACACCAGCACACCTGTGACCACTTCTACCCAAGTCAGGTCATCTCCTACAACTCCTGATGATACCAGTATGCCAAACTTGACTCCTAGTGAAGGAAGTACTCCATTAACAATTTTGCCTGTCAGCACCACCTCAGAGACCATTTCTGATCCTAGCACACCTGCAACACCTCCTGTTGACACCAGCACACCTGTGACCACTTCTACCCACATCAGTTCATCTCCTACAACTCCTGAAGTCACCACCATGCCAATCTCGACTGCTAGTGAAGGAAGCACTCCATTAACAACTATTCCTGTCAGCACCACACGTGTGACCAGTTCTGAGGGTAGCACCCTTTCAACACTTTCTGTTGACACCACCACACCTGCGACCACTTCTACCCACGTCAGTTCATCTCCTACAACTCCTGAAGTCATCACCATGCCAATCTCTACTCCTAGTGAAGGAAGCACTCCATTAACAACTATTCCTGTCAGCACCACACGTGTGACCAGTTCTGAGGGCAGCACCCTTTCAACACTTTCTGTTGACACCACCACACCTGCGACCACTTCTACCCACATCAGTTCATCACCTACAACTCCTGAAATTACCACCATGCCAATCTCTACACCTAGTGAAGGAAGCACTCCATTAACAACTATTCCTGTCAGCACCACATCAGTGACCCTTTCTGATCCTAGCACACCTTCAACACCTCCTGTTGACACCAGCACACCTGTGACCACTTCTAACCACGTCAGTTCATCTGCTACAACTCCTGAAATCACCACCATGCCAATCCCTACTCCTAGTGAAGGAAGCACTCCATTAGCAACTATTCCTGTCAGCACTACTAGTCTGACCAGTTCTGAGGGTAGCACCATTTCAACACCTTCTGTTGATATCAGCACACCTGTGACCACTTCTATCCAAGTCAGTTCATCTGCTACAACTCCGGAAGGTACCAGTATGGCAACCTCGACTCCTAGTGAAGGAAGCACTCCATTAACAACTATTCCTGTCAGCACCACACCTGTGACGAGTTCTGCGGACAGCATGCTTTCAACACCTTCAGTTTACACCAGCACATCTGTGACAACTTCTACCCAAGTCAGTTCATCTCCTACAACTCCTGAAGTCACCACCATGCCAATCTCTACTCCTAGTGACGGAAGCACTCCATTAACAACTATTCCTGTCAGCACCTCACGTGTGACCAGTTCTGAGGGCAGCACCCTTTCAACACCTTCTGTTGACACCAGCACACCTGTGACCACTTCTATCCAAGTCAGTTCATCTGCTACAACTCCTGAAGGTACCAGGATTGCAACCTCGATTTCTAGTGAAGGAAGCACTCCATTAACAACTATTCCTGTCAGCACCACACGTGTGACCAGTTCTGAGGGCAGCACCCTTTCAACGCTTTCTGTTGACACCAGCACACCTGTGACCACTTCTACCAAGTCAGTTCATCTCCTACAACTCCGAAGGTCAATGCCAATCTCGACTCCTGGTGAAGGAAGCACTCCATTAACAATTTGCCTGTCAGCACCACATCGGTGACCTTTCTGACTAGCACCCTTCAACACCTCTGTTGACACCAGCACACCTGTGACCACTTCTACCCAGTCAGTTCATCTCTACAACTCCTGAATCACCACCATGCAACCCACTCCTAGTGAAGGAAGCACTCATTACAACTATTCCTGTCAGCACTACAGTCTGACCAGTTCTGAGGGTAGCACCATTTCAACACTCTGTTGACATCAGCACACCTGACCACTTCTACCAGTCATTCATCTCCTACATCCTGAAGTCACCACCATGCCAATCTCACTCCTAGTGAGGAAGCACTCCATTAACAACTATTCCTGTCAGCACCACACTGTGACCAGTTCTGAGGCAGCACCCTTTCAACACCTCTGTTGACACCAGCACACCTGTGACCACTTCTACCCAAGTCAGTTCATCTCCTACAACTCCTGAAGTACCAGTATGCAACCTCGACTCCTAGTGAAGGAAGCACTCCATTAACAACTATTCCTGTCAGCACCACACTGTGACGAGTTCTGAGGACAGCACCTTTCAACACCTTCAGTTGACACCAGCACACCTGTGACCACTTCTACCCAAGTCAGTTCATCTCCTACAACTCCTGAAGATACCAGTATGCCAATCTGACTCCTAGTGAAGGAACACTCCATTAACAATTTCCTGTCAGCACCACACGTGGACCAGTTCTGAGCACACCTTCAACACCTCTGTTGACACCAGCACACCTGTGACCACTTCTACCCAAGTCAGTTCATCTCCTACAACTCCTGAAGTCACCATATGCCAATCTCGACTCCTAGTGAAGGAAGCACTCCATTAACAATTTCCTGTCAGCACCACACTGTGACCAGTTCTGAGGCAGCACCCTTCAACACTCTGTTGACACCAGCACACCTGTGACCACTTCTACCCAAGTCAGTTCATCTCTACAACTCCTGAAGTACCAATGCCAATCTGACTCCTAGTGAAGGAAGCACTCCATTAACAACTATTCCTGTCAGCACCACACGTGTGACCAGTTCTGAGGGCAGCACCCTTTCAACACCTTCTGTTGACACCAGCACACCTGGACCACTTCTACCAAGTCAGTTCATCTCCTACAACTCCTGAAGTACCAGATGCCAATCCTCACTCCTAGTGAAGGAAGCACTCCATTAACACTATTCCTGTCAGCACCACACATGTGACCAGTTCTGAGGGCAGCACCCTTTCAACACCTTCTGTTGACACCAGCACACCTGTGACCACTCTACCCAAGTCAGTTCATCTCCTACAACTCCTGAAGTACCAATGCCAATCTCACTCCTAGTGAGGAAGCACTCCATTAACAATTTCCTGTCAGCACCTCAGTGACCTTCTGACTAGCACCCTTCAACACCTCTGTTGACACCAGCACACCTTGACCACTTCTACCACGTCAGTTCATCTGCTACAACTCCTGAAGTCACCACCATCCAACCTACTCCTAGTGAGGAAGCACTCCATTACAACTATTCCTGTCAGCACTACTAGTCTGACCAGTTCTGAGGGTAGCACCATTTCAACACCTTCTGTTGATATCAGCACACCTGTGACCACTTCTATCCAAGTCAGTTCATCTGCTACAACTCCGGAAGGTACCAGTATGGCAACCTCGACTCCTAGTGAAGGAAGCACTCCATTAACAACTATTCCTGTCAGCACTACACATCTGACCAGTTCTGATGGCAGCACACTTTCAACACCTTCAGTTTACACCAGCACATCTGTGACCACTTCTACCCAAGTCAGTTCATCTCCTACAACTCCTGAAGTCACCACCATGCCAATCTCTACTCCTAGTGACGGAAGCACTCCATTAACAACTATTCCTGTCAGCACCTCACGTGTGACCAGTTCTGAGGGCAGCACCCTTTCAACACCTTCTGTTGACACCAGCACACCTGTGACCACTTCTATCCAAGTCAGTTCATCTGCTACAACTCCTGAAGGTACCAGTATTCCAACCTCAATTCCTAGTGAGGGAAGCACTCCATTAACAACTATTCCTGTCACCACCACACGTGTGACCAGTTCTGAGGGCAGCACCCTTTCAACGCTTTCTGTTGACACCAGCACATCTGTGACCACTTCTACCCCCATCAGTTCATCTCTTACAACTCCTGAAGTCACCACTATGCTAATCTCTACTCCTAGTGAAGGAAGCACTCCATTAACCACTATTCCTGTCAGCACTACACGTGTGACCAGTTCTCAGGGTAGCACCCTTTCAACACCTTCTGTTGAAACCAGCACACCTGTGACCACTTTTATCCAAGTCAGTTCATCTCCTACCACTCCTGAAGGTACCAGTATGCCAATCTCGACTCCTAGTGAAGGAAGCACTCCATTAACAACTATTCCTGTCAGCACCACACGTGTGACCAGTTCTGAGGGCAGCACCCTTTCAACACCTTCTGTTGACACCAGCACACCTGTGACCACTTCTACCCAAGTCAGTTCATCTCCTACAACTCCTGAAGGTACCAGTATGCCAATCTCGACTCCTAGTGAAGGAAGCACTCCATTAACAACTATTACTGTCAGCAGCACACATGTGACCAGTTCTGAGGGTAACACCCTTTCAACACCTTTTGTTGACACCAGCACACCTGTGACCACTTCTACTGAGGCCATTTCATCTTCTGCAACTCTTGACAGTACCACCATGTCTGTGTCTATACCCACGGAAATCAGCACCCTTGGGACCACTATTCTTATCAGCTCCACCCCTGTAACGAGGTTTCCTGAGAGTAGCACCCCTTCCATATCATCTGTTGACACCAGCATGTCCGTGACCACTGCCTCTGAAGGAAGTTCATCTCCTACAACTCTTGAAGGCACCACCATGCCTGTGTCAACTACGAGTGAAAGAAGCACTTTACTGACAACTCTCCTCAGCCCTATATCTGTGACGAGTCCTTCTGAGGCCAGCACACTTTCAAAACCTCCTGGTGATACCAGCACACCTTTGCTCACCTCTACCAAAGCCAGTTCATCCTCCATACCTGCCAAAGGCACTACCATACATATTTCAACTACCAGTGAAAGAAGCACTCCATTAACAACTCCTCGTGTTAGCACCACACCTCCAACTAGCTTTACTGAGGCCAGCACACCTTCAACACCTCCTCTTGACACAAGCACAACTTTTACGCCTTCTACTGAAGCTGCCTCAACTCCCACCATTCCTGTAGCCACCACCAGATCTGTATCAATGACCACAGAAGGAAGCACACCTGGGACAACCATTTTTATTCCCACCACTTCTGTCACCAGTTCTACCTCTGATGTCATTCCTGCAACAACTGGTGCTGTATCTACCCCTGTGATAACTTCCACAGAATTAAACACACCATCAACCTCTACTAGTAGTACCACCACATCTTTTTCAACTACTAAGGAATTTACAACAACTGCAATGACTACTGCAGCCCCTCTCACATATGTGACCATGTCTACTGCCCCCAGCACAACCAGCAGAGGCTCCACTACTTCTGCATCAACACTTTCTGCAGCCAGTACACCTCACACCTCTGCTTCTGTCACCACCCATCCTGTGACCCCTTCATCAGAATCCAGCAGGCCGTCAACAATCACTTCTCACACCATCCCACCTATATTTCCTCCTGCTCACTCCAGTACACCTCCAACAACCTCTGCCTCCTCCACGGCTGTGATCCCTGAGACTGTCACTACCATGACCACTGGGCCAAAACCCAGCACAAGGACCGCTTCCTCCCCCACGGTGACCACCACCACTGTCCCCACGACTACTTCTACAATTAAGAGCACCCCCACCTCAACTACTGTGCCAAGAACCACAACATGTAAGTGATTTCTTGAATTTTCCCTTTTTTTAATTATACTTTAAGTTCTAGGGTACATGTGCACAACATGCAGGTTTGTTACATATGTGTACATGTGCCATGCTGGTTTGCTGCACCCATTAACTCATCATTTACATTAGGTATTTCTCCTAATGTTATCCCTCCCTCATCCCTCCACCCCACAGCAGACCCTGGTGTGTGATGTTTCCCGCCCCGTGTCCAAGTGATCTCATTGTTCAGTTCCCACCTATGAGTGAGAACATGCGGTGTTTGGTTTTCTGTCCTTGCGATAGTTTGCTCAGAAGGTTTCCACCTTCATCCATGTCTCTACAAAGGACTTGAACTCATCGTTTTTTATGACTGCATAGTATTCCATGGAGTGAACAGGCAACCTACAGAATGGCAGAAAATTTTTGCAATCTACTTATCTGACAAAGGGCTAATATCCAGAATCTACAAAGAACTTAAACAAATGTACAAGAAAAAAATCAAACAACCCCATCAAAAAGTGAGCAACGGATAAGAACAGACACTTTTCAAAAGAATTTACCTTTTTGAAACTGACCTTTCTTTTCAATCTCCACTCACTACTTTTTGTGGTTTTCTTCTTAAACATTTACTCCTAAACTCCTTTTGCTCTGACTTACTTGTTTTCCAATTGATAAAACTCGCATCAAGGTTTTCTGTCTCAGCACTCTCTCACTTCTCCACTCTCGCTGTTTCTTGCACAAGTTCCCCTTTTTTGAACAAAGTATTACCTCTCTTTGCCTGGGCACCTCAATCTCCAGTATTCTGTCCACAAGTCCAGTTTTCTCTCTTTTGTATTCTGCAGGTCTCTGTTCCATTGCACTTTGTATGCCATAATGTTATTAACTCTGAGTGGTTTATTTATGTTTTATTTTAAACTTTTTAGTTTACTTTGTAAACTTTCTAGTGGATTTTCTCACTGATTTTGTTCATACTAAAGTACAAATTTTTTTTTTTTGCAGAAGGTTTTTGCCAATTCATTCATGTGTACCTTTGTCAAGTATCTCTGCCACCATTCACTTTTATTTTGATTCATCTTATCCCCTGAGCATCCGCTATAGAAGCAAAAGAAGATTCCTTCACTTCTATCAGCTCTGAATTCTACCTCCAATGCCTATGAGTGTTTTGCTGTCCTTACGTATCCCTCTCCTTTCTCTGACTCAAGAACTTTCACTCAGCCTTCTTCTCTCTTGTTAGGGTAAGAATTGCACCATCCAATACCTGCTATTATAATATCCTGTATATTGTATTACATGAATCATGTAATATACTAATAGACCTGTGAGTATGACTCCCAGATTAAGAATATTTTGCACACATTTTTAAAAGTATGTTAGTTAAAATACCTGAAAACTCTGATTTATTTAGATGACTAGGCTCACAGGTATATGATCTGTGTCTGCCCACAGAACTGCCCAATCCCATCTTGAATTGATGACGGTGAAGGTGGTTCTTCAGTTTTTGACTACTACGTTTTCTCTGGACTTTGTGATTTTTTCCTCTGCTGAATTCTACTTTGCCTGAACTTTTCTTTTTCTTTTTCTTTTTCTTTCTGATGGAGTTTCACTCTTGTTGCCCAGGCTGGAGTGCAATGGCGCGATCACGGTTCACTGCAACCTCCACTCCCCAGGTTCAAGCGATTCTCTCACCTCAGCCTCCCACGTAGCTGGGGTTAGAGCGCACACCAACACACCCAGCTAATTTTTGTAGTTTTGGTAGAGACAGGGTTTCACCATGTTGGCCAGGCTGGTCTTGAACTCCTGACCTCAGGTGATCCACCTGCCTCAGCTTCCCAAAGTGTTAGGATTACAGGTGTGAACCACCATGCCTGGCTGGATTTTCTATCATATGGCTTTTTTCTCTTGATTCTCTCCAATATGTCTTTGTCTTCTTGAGCTCTCCGATTCTCAGATGAGTGGTCTGAGCATTTTCAGGTGGGAGATCTGGACCTTGTATTTCCAGGAAGCCTCGTAGGTGTCTCACGACAAAGGCCAAGTGGCTGCAATGCCACTGGACCCACTATCTGGTGTCGGTCGCATCTTTAAAAGCAGATTGTCCTCCTTCTGTCTTCCTCCTCTTCCCCAGAGATTGGCCTTCCCTTTAGACTGTTGAGCAATGGGTGAACGCACCCCAGCGTCTGCTTCTGTTGTTCTAACCCGTGTTTTGGCACTTAGCTCAGATCTGGGCATCTTCAGTAATGAAAGCGAGAAAGAGACGGAGGGAGGAGACTGATTTATGTATGGGTAAACCCATAGGATGTATGGGTTTCCGGTGTGCCCAGGACTCTTGACTTCTCTCTTCTATTCTTTCCAAACGTCTTGGAGCAAAAGCCCATAAATAGAGGCTGCATGATGTGATTTTCATGAGTGTGGATCCTGCTCTCTGAGTCTGTTTAGGGTAAACCAGAAGGCAGGGGTGAGGCAGGTCTTTGCAGAGTCTATACATACCTCATGCCCTTCCCCAGACAAAACACACCTTGAATACTGATCTACCCAGGCACAGCGATTTTCAACAAAAACCAAAGTAAACAGAGCTTTAGATTTTCCAGGTTGGTTGGCACGGATATTCAAGAGTTGGCTATCACTACTTCCTACCTATTTAAACTAAGAGGAGTTTATTTGTTGTACTGCAATTTAAAAAGGAGTTGTTAGGCTGGGCGTGATGGCTCACACCTGTAATCCCAGCATTTTGTGAGGCTGAGACTGGAGGATTTGTTAAGGCCAGGAGTTTGAGACCAGCCTGGGCAACAGAGCAAGACCCCATCTCTACAGAAAAATTTGAAAAATAAGCCAGACATGGTGATTCATGCCTGCAGTCCCAGTTACATGGGAGGCTAAGGTGGGAAGATTGCTTAAGCCCAGTAGGTCAAGGCTATAGTGAGCTATGATTGCACCACTACACTCCAACCTGAATGACATGGTGAGACTCTGTCTCAAAAAAAAACAATAAAATAAGGTCTAGACTCCTCCCTCAAACTCCACATCCCAGTAAATTAAAAAGAATCAGAAAGAGTCATAACAGTAACGATTGCCAGTATGGGCTTTTCCAAAGCAGGTGTTGAAGAACAACGACCATCTCATTTTCAACCTGGGTGGAATCTAGACTGGTCAAGTTCACCTGGGTTTTTCCTTCCTCAGCCCTGACTGTGTCGTTCACCTCTCACAATGTCAGATTTCTCTTTCTTCACGTTTTCGGGGTAAAGTCAAGCATGCTGGACTAGGACTGGGTGAAGTGTAGCCTAAACGTGGACCCATGGAGAGGTGGCTTAGCCTCTCTCTGCCTCACTTTGTGGATCTGTGAAGAGAGGATAATGGTAACTGTCCTGTGCACCCCCGGGGTCTCATGAGAGTATCAAATTAGGCAGTGTTGGAGCCGGGCGTGGTGGCTCACACCTGTAATCCTAGCATTTTGGGAGGCCGAAGTGGGCAGATCACCTGAGGTCAGGAGTTTGAGACCAACCTGGCCAAACAGGTGAAACCCTATTTCTCCTAAAAATACAAAAACTTAGCTGGGTGTGGTGGCACGCGCCTGTAATCTCAGCTACTCGGGAGGCTGAGGCAGGAGAATCACTTGAACCTGGGAGGTGGAGGTTGCAGTGAGCCACGATCACGCCATTGCACTCCAGCCTGGGCGACAAGTGGGAAACTCAGACTCAAAAAACAAAAACAAATTAGGCAGTGTCCGTGCAAATGCATTGTAAGCTGTAAAGTGCTGTGCTCAACATATAAACACAGTAGATCCCTGTTCCTTTCAGTGAGCTGCCTCAATGGAGGAACTTGGAAAGAAAACTTCTGTGATTGTTCCACAGGTGTTGGAGATCAATGCTCTCGCTGCAAGAATGGAGGCTTCTGGGATGGGCTCAAGTGTCAGTGTCTCACCCCCTATTATGGGGAGAGCTGTGAGGAGGTGGTCAACAGCATTGACATAGGTAAGTGCAACCCCAGGCCCTCCCCTCTCCCCGTGCCCTGGGACCCAACCTCCATACAGGCACCAGTTCCTACCCCACCTTGATGTGAGGCCAGGAATAGGGCCTCTTCTGGACTGTGGTGTTTTTTTTTTTGTTTGTTTTGTTCTGTTTTTTTCCACCCAGAGCTAAGAACGCTAAGGTATTACAAGATGAATAAATAGGCCAGGAACGGTGGCTCTCGCCTGTAATCCCAGTGCTTTGGGAGCCTGAGGCAGGATCACTTGAGGCCAGGAGTTCGAGACTAGCCTGGGCAACATAGTGAGATCTCATTTATTTAAAAAAACAAAACAAAACAAAACAAAACTTAGCTGGGTGTGGTGGGGTATACTTGTAGTCTTAGCTGTTTGAGAGGCTGAGGTGGGAAGATTGCTTGAGCCCAGGAGGTCAAGGCTGCACTGAGCTATGATCTCACCACTTCACTCCAGCCTGGGCAACAGAACAAGACCCTGTCAAAAAAAAGAAAGAAGGAAGGAAGGAAAAAAGAAAGAAAGAAAAGAAAAAGAAAGAAAGGAAAGGAAAGGAAGGGAAAGTAAGAAAGGAAGGAAGGAAGGAAGGAAAGAGAAAGAAAGAGAAAGAGAAAAGAAAATGAATAAAAGAGAAAGAAAAGAAAAGAAAACAAGAAGGTGTATTTTGGATACAAATTTGGCACAAAATTTTACCATAAAATACAATGGAGGTCACTCCCTCCACCTAGGCTGGGGGGCAGAACTTCTGAGTAAGAAACTCAGAGATGCTTTGCTCAGTAAGTCTACCCACCTCAGCACCACCGGAGACTGTCTCTGCCCAAATGGAACTGACTGTGACAGTGACCAGTGTGAAGTTCACCGATGAGCTAAAAAACCACTCTTCCCAGGAATTCCAGGAGTTCAATAAGACATTCACAGAACAGGTAAGTCTGGGAGAGCAAGGCCCCATGGCCACTCAGTTCCCCCCAGAGCAGAGTTTGCAGGGTAAGAAGGCAGCAGGGGGCTGTTCCCTTGTTAGATGTGCAGGAGTTCCCTCAGGCCCCCACGTCCTCAGGGCTTGCCAGTGGAAGGGGGAAGAGATGAGGCCAGGTTTTACCCGGGGGCTGCAGGAGGCCCCTGAGGCAGGGCAGGTCTCTGGAAAGAAACCACTCCATTTGATGAGTGTGCTATGATGCTGTAGGGCAGGAGCATCCCCTGGTCCTGTGCCCTCCTGATGTCCCACGGAGAGGCCCCATGGTCTCTCTCGGATGACACAGTGGCCCCTTGCCTTTCAGATGAACATTGTGTATTCCGGGATCCCTGAGTATGTTGGGGTGAACATCACAAACCTACGGTAAGTGTCTGGGCCCGTGGGAAGAGGGTCTGTGGTGTGGAAACAGCAGTCATAATTATAAAGGCAATTAGAACTGTGCCTCCTGCATTACCGTGCTCAGGCAGCTATTGCAGAATAACACCAACGGGGCAGCTTAAACAACAGAAATCTATTTCTCCCAGTTCTAGGGGCTGGAGGTCTAAGATGAAGGTGTGGGTGGGTGTGGTTTCTCTGGAGGCCTCTCTCCTTGGCTTGTGGACGGCCACCTTCTTGCTGTGTCTTTGCATGGTCTTTCCTCTGTGTACACCTCCCTGCTGTCTCTGCATATCCAAATTCCCCCTTTTTATAAGGACACCAGTCAGACTCGATGAGGGCCTACACTAATGGTCTCATTTTAACTTACTCACCTCTTTAAAGACCCTATCGCCAAATATGGTCACATTCTGAGGTTCTGGGGGTTAGGGCTTCAATATATAAATGTAGGTGGCACCAGGTGCAGTGGCTCACACCTGTAATCCCAGCACTTTGGGAGGCTGATGTAGAAGGATTATTTGAGGCCAGGAGTTCAAGACCAGCCTGAGGAACATAGCAAGACCTTACCTCTACAAAAAATAGCAGGGCATAGTGGCATGCACCTATAGACCTGGCTACTCAGGAGGCTGAGGCAGGAGGATCACTTGAGCCCAGGAGTCAGAGGTTAGAGTAAACCAGGATCACACCATTGCACTCCAGCCTGGGCAGCAGAGTGAGACTCTGTCTCTAAAACAAAACAAAACAAAACAAAAAAACCAAAAACCTCAAGGATGGCCTCTTCTGTGGTTCCCATTCCTCTATCCATCTTCATCACTGAGGCTTCCCTAAGACTTCCCGGAGACTCACTTTGTAGAAAGTTATCTTAGGCACCACTGCTGGGAGAACTCCTATAGCAGGGGGCCCAGTGCAGTGCCTAGGACAGAGTCATCACCCCAACTGTCCTCCTACCAGCTCTGCCTTCCCTTGGGATCAGAGAGGGTGAAGCCTGTCTGGGATGGATCTGAGAGGTAAGCACCCAATTCTGACCCCAGGACATCTTCCCTTCCCTCCTCAGTCTTGGCAGTGTGGTGGTGGAGCATGACGTCCTCCTAAGAACCAAGTACACACCAGAATACAAGACAGCTTTGGACAATGCCACCGAGGTAGTGAAACAAAAAATCACAAAAGTGACCACAGAGCAAATAATGACCAATGATAATTGCTCAGGTAAACTCTTGGGCTTCTAGGGAGGGAAGGGAGAGGGGATCAGAGCTGGGGCATGACCTTCTTAACAGAGAGGAGGGCTGGGAGTGAGGATGGTTAATGGGCAGGTACAAGAATCACTGTGGGGTCCTAGAGTACCTGGGGGTGCAGCCCAAAGAAGCCCCAGGATTGGGCCAAGAGAGTCTTTAACCTTCATCATCCTCCAGCCCATTTTGTCCCTAGGGTAGGGGAAGGGACAAAGGCAAATGGAGACAGCAAGAGAACATGGAGATCCAGGAATTCGTCCCGGAACCTGCAAGGCCAGACATACAAACAGACCAGATCTTGCAGGGTGCCAGGACTAAGGGCTATAGGACAGGGGAGTCTGCTGGAAATGGGGACCCATGGGCCTCGTTACACGGGGGTTCATCTAAGTGTGTGGATCATGGCAGAAGAGGGAAGAAGGAGGCATCGGGAAGGCATGGTGGCTCACACCTGTAATCCCAGCACTTTGGGAGGCTGAGGCGGGCAGATCACTTGAGGCCAGGAGTTTGAAACCAGCCTAGTCAACATGGTGAAACCCCATCTCTATTAAAAATACAAAATTAGCTGGGCATGGTGGCAGGTGCCTGTAGTTCTAGCTACTTGGGAGGCTGAGGCAGGAGAATCACTTAAACCTGGGAAGCAGAGGTTGCAGTGAGCTGAGATTGCACCACAGCACTCCAGCCTGGGTGACAGAGCAAGACTCCATCTGAAAGAAAGAAAGAAAGAAAGAAGAAAGAAAGAAAGAAAGAAAGAAAGAAAGAAAGAAAGAAAGAAAGAAAGAAAGAAAGAAAGAAAGAAAGAAAGAAGGAAGGAAGGAAGGAAGGAAGGAAGGAAGGAAGGAAGGAAGGAAGGAAGGAAGGAAGGAAGGAAGGAAGGAAGGAAATAAGAGAAAAGGGAGGCATGGGACAAAAAGGCTCAGGACACTTGGAGGGTCATAGGACGCAAGGCTGATGCTGCTCCTCTGCCAGGGCCAGATTCCCACCTCCCCATCACAGCCCACCCCCTTCTCACACACACACACACCTCAGCTCCCTGAGGATGCAGAACAAGCATGTATGTGTCATGAGGGGTTTTATGTGTCTCTTTCACAGCCTTGATGTGTTTCAACACCACTGGCACCCAAGTGCAAAACATTACAGTGACCCAGTACGACCCTGTAGGTAGGTGATAACACAAGGGGTTTGGGGGAAGGCTGGAGAGGTGTGGAGCCCAGGAGGAGCGGGACAGTGCCCCCCCAGCCCCCTGATCATGGCTGCTCCCCATCCCTGCACCCCTCCACCAGAGGAATGCCAGCAGAAGGCCAAGAAATTTGGAGACTACTTCCTAGTGGAGTACCGGGACCAGAAACCATACTGCATCAGCCCCTGTGAGTCTGGCTTCAATGCCTCCAAGAACTGTAACCATGGCAAGTGCCAGATGTCTCAAAATGGAGCCCGGTGCCTGTGAGTGCTCCCCCATTTCCTCCAGCCCAGCCCAGATGTCCTGGTCCTCCCCTCCCCTGCAGGGCTTCACCCCAGGCATTGCCTGGAGGCCAAGGTCATGGGACTAGTGTCGCCTGAATGTGTCCAGCTGCAGAGGAATTGGGTTGGGGACGGGGGTAAAACATGAGTAGTTGAGCTCCAAGGCTATGTCCAGAACAGCCTAGCCGTGTCCTGTCTGTGCTAAGGAGGGCTGAGGACAGTAAGAACCTCCTGGGAAGGTTGTCTGACAGGGGGAACAGAGACACAGCCTTGCTCTCTCTCCAGAGAGAGAACAAGACCCTCTTCTGGTGAAATAGAAACAGAAGGTTACACACCCACATGAGGAGTGGGGAGAACCCCTCTAGCCCAGTCACAGAGGTAGGAAAGCAAAGAAAAACGTTGCCACTTGAAACAGAACCAAAGAGAGAGACCAGATGGAGCATCAGGTGCGGGAAGAAGCCACATGTAGGCAAAGACCTGAGTAGTCAGTTTTGGAAAGCTTCCTGGAAGAGGGGGTCACAAGCTGGAAAGGGGAAGAAAGGAACAGGGTTTAGAGAGGGCATCTCAAGGCAGCAGGGAGGAAGAGCTTCAGGGGTGTAACGGGAGCTCTGGATCAGGGCTGCAGCCTGGCTTTCTTGACAGAGAGGAGGGCTGGAAGTGAGGATGGTTAATGGGTGGATGCAAGATCACTGTGGGGTCCTGGAGTCCCTAGGGGTGCAGCCCAGGGAAGACCCACGGTTGGGCCAACTGTCCTAGGTCCTGGGTTGCAACTGGAGGCAAAACCTAAAAGCCTGGAGTGGGAACTGAGCTCATTTGAGGGACCACCTCCAGGGATGTTGGTCTTCATCCCCGTTCATCCTCTCAGGGCGCCTTGCTTTATGCACCCTGGCAATCTCTTCTCACCTCCTCTTCATTAAACACCCACTGGGCAGGGCCCCGGTCTGAAGCTGGTGCTGACTCTGTTCTCTCTCCCCAACCTGCTGCTTCTCTCCCATCTCAGCTGCGTGACCACGGAAACTCACTGGTACAGTGGGGAGGACTGTAACCAGGGCACCCAGAAGAGTCTAGTGTACGGCCTCGTGGGGGCAGGGGTCGTGCTGGTGCTAATCATCCTGGTAGCTCTCCTGATGCTCATTTTCCACTCCAAGAGAGAGGTGAAACGGTGAGCAAGCCCCTACCACCTCCTCTTTCAACTCCCTCCAGCTCCTCCTCTTCCTATGATCCCTCTGCCTCTAATCACTTCATCCTCGAGGTGGACAGTGGGGCAAGCTAAAAATGGGGATACAATTTGTCCCTGGTCCTTGTTCCTGTTCCCCAATCCTAATGGGGTCTCTCTGGTGTTTCCATCAATAGGCAAAAGTACAGATTGTCTCAGTGGTACAAGTGGCAAGAAGAGAACGGTGGACCAACTCCTGGGACCTTCCAAAACATTGGCTTTGACATCTGCCAAGGTATCGGCCTTCCTCTCTGCACTCAGAATGACTCAAAATGTGGAAACAGGCTGGGTGCTGTGGGCTCATGCCTGTAATCCTAGCACTCTGAAAGGCCAAGGCAGGATGATTGCTTGAGGCCAGGAGCTCGAGATCAGCCTGGGCAACAACACAGAAAACTCTATCTCTTTTTTTTTTTTTTTTTTTTTTTTTTTGAGACGGAGTCTCACTCACTCGCCCAGGCTGGAGTGCAGCGGCGCGATCTCAGCTCACTGCAAGCTCCGCCTCCCAGGTTCACCCCATTCTCCTGCCTCAGCCTCCCGAGTAGCTGGGACTACAGGCGCCCACCACCACGCCCAGCTAATTTTTTGTATTTTTAGTAGAGACAGGGTTTCACCGTGTTAGCCAGGATGGTCTCGATCTCCTGACCTCATGATCCGCCCGCCTCGGCCTCCCAAAGTGCTGGGATTACAGGCATGAGCCGCCGCGCCCAGCCAAACTCTATCTCTTAAAAAAAAAAAAAAAAAAAGGGAGGCTGAGGCAGGTGGACCACTTGAGGTCAGTAGCTTGAGACCAGCCTGGACCACATAGTGAAACCCTGTCTCTACTGAAAACACAAAAAATTAGCTGAGTGTGGTGGCAGGTGCCTGTAATCCCAGCTACTCGGGAGGCTGAGGCAGGAGAATCACTTGAACCCGGGAGGCAGAGATTGCAGTTAGCCGAGATTGTGCCATTGCACTCCAGCCTGGGCAACAAGCATGAAACTCCATCTCAAAAAAATATAAAATAAAAAATTGCTTTAATTATCTGGGCATGATGGCATGCACCTCTAGTCCCAGCTACTTGGGAGGCTGAGGCAGGAGAATTGCTTGAGCCTGGGAGATGGAGGCTGCAGTGAGCCGTGATTGCACCACTGCACTCCAGCCTGGGCAACAGAACAAGACACTGTCTTAAAAAAAAAAAAAAAAAAAAAAAAAGTACTTAGGAGGCACCTGGGAAGACCCTGGGGCTTAAAGTGTGAAGGGGGAAAATATTTCCCACTCCAAAATGTTTGGCTCTACAGCTAAAACCTTATTTCCATTACTGACTCCTGTGAGACCCTGGATGGGGCATAGTGAACTGAACCACTGGGGAGACACAGGTTCCTTGAGGGTGGTAGATTTCCCTAATGCAGAGATCAATGCTCGGGAGTGGGTGAGCTCATTAGCAGGGGAGTTGTTCCTCAGTAAAGAGACTAATGTTAGATTTTGCTAGGTTAAAGGCGCGTGTTAAAATTTCTAAAACTAGAGTCTTTAACTTCTAAAGAAGGAAATATGTGGAATGAGAAATTTCTCAAAATAGTCTTTAAATTCTAAAGAAGGGGAAGATTAGAATGAGGAAAAAGTCCAGTCAACCCACAAAGAGCAGGAAAGGGAGAAAAAGAAAAAGGAGGTGGGATGCAGTGGCTCATGCTTATAGTCCCAACGCTTTGGGAGGCCGAGGCTGGAGGATCGCTTGAGGCCAGGCAAGACCAGCCTAGGCAACATAACGAGATCAAAAAATTAAAAAAATTAGCCAGGCACAGTGGTGCATGCCTGTAATCCTAGCTTCTGAGTCAGAAGGATCACTTGAGCCCAGGAGGTCAAGGCTGCAGTGAGTTATGATTACACCACTGCACTCTAGCCTGGGCAACAGAGCAAGACCCTGTCTCTTAAAAAAAAAAAAAAGAGAGAGAGAAAAGAAAAGAAGAAGAAGAAGGTGGGGCATGGTGGCTCATGCCTGTAATCCTAGCACTTTGGGAGGCTGAGGCTAGTGGGTCACCTGAGGTCAGGAGCCCAGCCTGGCCAACATGGTAAAACCCCATCTCTACTAAAAATACAAAAATTAGCTGAGTGTGGTGGCGTGTGCCTGTAATCCCAACTACCTGGGAGGCTGAGGCAGGAGAATCGCTGGAACCTGGGAGGTGCAGGCTGCAGTGAGCTGAAATTGCACCACTGCACTCCAGCCGGGGCAACAGAGCAAGATTCTGTCGAAGAAGAAGGAGGAAGAGGAAGAGGAGGAGGAGGAGAAGGAGGAGGAGAAGGAGGAAGGGGAAGAAGAAGAGGAGATAGGACACATAGAAAATACAAAATAGTGGCCGGGCGCAGTGGCTCACCCTGTAATCCCAGCACTTTGGGAGGCTGAGGCAGGTGGATCATGAGGTCAGAAGATTGAGACCATCCTGGCTAACACAGTGAAACCCTGTCTCTACTAAAGATAAGAAAAAAAATTAGCCAGGCGTGGTGGTGGGCGCCTGTAGTCCCAGCTACTCGGGAGGCTGAGGCAGGAGAATGGCATGAACCCGGCAGGTGGAGCTTGCAGTGAGCCGAGATCAAGCCACTTAACTCCAGCCTGGGTGACAGAGCGAGACTCCATCTCAAAAAAAAAAAAAGAAAATCCAAAATAAAATGATAGGAAGTAATGCAAATATATCACAAAGCATAATACATATAAGTAGATTAAACTCTAGTTTAAAAAGGATTTTTAAAAAAAGAAAACTAGGTATTCACTGTGGGTGGGAGGTACACGTAAATTGGAAACACACAGGTTGGAAACAAAAGTATAGAAAAAACAAAACAGGGTAATACTAAACAAAGTATCTGTTGTTTTGTGTATAGCTTTACTCATTGCAGTCACATACATTTTAAAGCAAAAAGAATTACTAGGGATAAAAATGATCAATATTAGCAAATGGCTTACTCTGTTAGACACAAGTCTAATTTGTATGCTCTATTAATACAATCTCAAAATAGATAAAGCAAAAACTGACAAAGCTACAAAGGAAAATTAACAAATCCACCAGCACGGTGAGAAATTTTTAAAACACCCCTCTTAGTAATTGACAGAAGTCACTGAGGATTACAGAACTTTTGGACAAAATAATTAGCCTTAATACAATACAGAACACCACATTCAACAAATAGAGGGTATTCATTTATTACATGAGTCCACGAGAAAACTTCTAAGGATGGCCACACACAGGACATGAAAAAAGCCTCAACAAACTTATAAAAAATTATTTAAATCAGACGATCTTATCTGACCATAATGCAAGTATGTTAGAAATCAATAACAAAAATATTTTTGGAAAATGAAAACAAAAATCCCATATCTTTGGAATTTTTTTTCAAGTTTCCAAATAATGTATGGATCAGATAAGAGATTATAGTGAAAGTGAGAAAATACTTAGTATTCAGACTCGCGGGATGCAGCTACAGCTGTACTCAGAAAATTCATAGCCTTAATATGTCTGTATTGGGGGCTGCTGAGTCAGGTAGTGTTGACAGTTTGTCACATTTTCAAGAGTTTTCAGTTTCCTAGGGATAGGGACAAACTCATCCTCCATTGGATGGGATTAAAGGGAGAGATGAAAGTTTGTCCTTCTAACCTCCTGTTTCCATGGTGCTTTCCATCCCTCTAGAAGATGATGACTCCATCCACCTGGAATCCATCTATAGTAATTTCCAGCCCTCCTTGAGACACATAGACCCTGAAACAAAGGTAAGAAGGGCCTGGATGGGATGCTGGCCTCCCCCAACCTTGAGACTTTCTTCTCCTTTCCTGCATGGTAGGACCTTCAGGAAAGCAAAACCATGTTTACAGTTCATTGGTCCAGGTGATTCTCCCAGGTCCATACTGCCAGGAAACAAGCCTAACTCAGGGGAAGAATAAAAGCTAAGTAGCAAGGTGGAATCACCTTCCGTTGACCCCTGAGGCTTCAGATTCTGAGGTTTCCTTCCCTACTGTAAGTACACCCTTGATGGCCAACTTACTTAGTTATTTTAATTTGTAAACACACATAAAAGTCAAAATAGTAGTGCAGTAAATACTTACATATTCCATGCAGCTCAGCAAGGCTTAACATGCCATATGTCTCTTTCTTTGTATTGATCTATTCACTAATTTTTGCTGAATAATTTGGAAGTCAGCTGCCAACATTATGACACTTGATCCCTAACCATTTCAGCCCACACTTCCCAATACCACGATTATATCCAATACGTTGATCATAACTTCACAATGTCATCGGATATCCAATTTTTCCAATTAGCCCAAGGACATCTTCTATTACTAGTTTTTTTTTTTCCTCAGATGTAGATACAACAGATTTCACTCACTGACTTCTGTTATGTCTCTTTGGTCTTTTAATCTAGAATGGGCTCCTACATTTTAAAGTATATTGCTTTTCTTAAGAGTCTAGGATGGTTGTCTTGAAAAATGTCTCACACCCCTGGTTTGTTTCATGGTGTCATCTAACTTGTCCCCCCACCCTTAGTATCAGAGGTATTAGAGATATTCTGGGATTGGAAATACTGGAGGTTGGGTCTAAAGGCTTAACTGGAATCAGATTAAACATTTTTATGATATCACAGATAATGCTATTGCCTCACTTCAACAAGTATATAACATCAGATTGTCCCCCCATGGTTAAGGCCAAGATTGGTTACTTGGGCAAAAGGTGACCACTCCTTGATCACTGCCTTAATATGATTTAAACTGGATGGATAGTTGAAGGTAGGAGAAATAACAAGTGTGAACGTCTTCAGGTGCTATGCTCCCTTGACATAGCCCTTTGGGGCAAAGATGAAATCTCCAGCCAGGATACCTGTAAACCTACCTGGTGGAGAGGGGAAGGCACAATTGGTTTGTGCTAGAATCCAGGTAATGGGACAAGTTCTAAACTAACCACTTAGGCCAGGTGCGGTGGCTCATGCCTGCAATCCCAGCACTTCGTGAGGCCAAGTCAGGAAGATCGTCTGAAGTCAGGAGTTTGGGACCAGCCTGGGCAACAAAGTGAGACTCTGTCGCTGTAAAAGAAATAATAATAATAGCCAGGCACAGTGGCTCACGCCTGTAATCCCAGCACTTTGGGAGGTCGAGGTAGACGGATCACTTGAGCCCAGGAGTTTGAGACCACCCTGGGCAACATAGCGAAACCTCATCTCTACAAAAAATTTAAAAATTATTCAGGTGTGGTTGTGTGCACATGTAGTCCCAGCTACTTGGGAGGCTGAGGTGGGAGGACCGCTAGAGCCCAGAAGTTACAGGCCGCAGCGAGCCTTGATTGTGCCACTGCACTCCAGTCTAGATGGCAGATTAAGCCTGTCTCAAAAAAATAAAAAAATAAAAATAATTAAACCGAACACTTCCCATCCCAAGCCTCCTTATGCTTCCAAAATCCCAAATTCCTCATGAGCTGAGCCTTCACCTGGTTTTATCTCTCTTTTCAGATCCAAATTCAGAGGCCTCAGGTAAAGACATCATTTTAAGGTATGGAGTTGAGAAGTCTGGGAGTGAGGAGATTCCAGTCCGGCTAAGCTTGGTGGAGCATTTCCCCATTGAGAGCCTTCCATGGGAACTCAATGTTCCCATTGTAAGTACAGGAAACAAGCACTGTACTTACCAAGGAGAAAGAGGAGAGAGATGGCAGTGCTGGGAGAGTCTCAAATAGAAACCCGTGGAAGCTCCAATGGGCTTGCCTTGATATCAGGCTAGGCTTTCCTGCTCAGTTTTCAAAGAGGTTCCAGATTTGAGGGGTGCTCTGACTGCAACATCTGTCACCCCATTGATCGCCAGGATTGATTTGACTGATCTGGCTGGGTAGGCGGGTGTCCCCGTCCTCCCTCGCTGCCCCATGTATGTCCCTCCTAAAGCTGCATGCTCAGTTGAAGAGGATGAGAGGACGACCCTCTCTGATAGAGGAGGATCACGCTTCAGTCAAAGGCATACAAGTATCTGGACTTCCCTGCTAGAACTTCCAAACAAGGTCAAAGAGGTTCCTCCTCTCGCCTGCCCGGATTCAGTACCATGGACAGCGCCCTCAACGAGCTGTTTACTACCATGACCCCTTGGACACGGGACTGCTGCATGCACTTTACATTTCACAAAATGCTCTCCTAAGAATTATTGAATGCCATCTTCATGAAAAACACTTGTGTTTAAATATAGAGCATTTACCTTTGGTATATAAGATTGTGGGCATTTTTTAAGTTCTTATTTTTATGAGTTCTGATTTTTTCCTTAGTAAATATTATAATATATATTTGTAGTAACTAAATATAATAAAGCAATTTTATTAAAATTTTCATGGTTCCCAGATCTTTCCCTCCTATTTCCCATAGCTCCTGTTTCTAACCTCCCAGACTGTCTCTCTCCTCCCTTCCTCTAGAACATAAAATCTGATGCATTTGGGGTTCAAGATAACAAGACAGAGATTTGCAGTGGGAAGAGGACCATTCCCTGAACTTCACTGACACCATTTGCTGGTGTCCAGGAGGCAAGGCAGACAGACAGACAGACAAACAGACAGACAGACAGACACACACACACACACACACAGAGAGACACTCATTTCCTATCAAAGAAAACCAAATTTTCCAAGCTCTCCTTCTGAAAATGGGCTGATATTTCTTTCCATGCATCTAAAGAGATAGAGACCTGAGCTCTATTTTCAGCTTTCTCATGAATTCCCTTAGGTTAAATCTGGGAAAAATCTATTTGGACTCAGTCTTGCCTTCTGCCGAATAAGCACTAGGTTTCTAAAGCCTCTTTCATCGCTGTCCTTAATATTCCTAGGACGCTTTTTAAAAATTATTATGATTCCAGCCATGCCGCTCAGGATTCACCATATTCTCGAAGGTCTCTCCCACCAGCCACCCGCTTCAAAGCCTAACCTGAGACAGAACCTGGACTCTGCTGCCCCCTCCTGGATGCCCTGAGCACCTGCAGGCACCATACCTCTTCTCAGCGGTCCCCTCCTGGCCTCTCCTGTGAGAAAAATACTCCGTTACACTTGATTATTTTCATATTTGCCATCAAAATTCTGTTTCTTTTCTTTTTTTGAGACAAGGTCTCACTCTTTCGCCAAGGCTAGAGCACAGTGGTGTGATCACTGCTCACTGCAGCCTTGAGCTCCTGGGCTCAAGAATTCCTCCAGCCTCAGCCTCCCAAGTAACTGGGACTACAGGTGTCAGCCACCACGCCCCACTAATTTTTAATTTTTTTTTTTTTTTTTTTGTAGAGATGGGGCTTCGCTGCGTTGTCCAGGCTGGTCTTGAATTCCTAGGCTCAAACGATCCAATCACTTCTGTCTCCCAAAATGCTGAGATTCCAGGTGTGAGCCACTATGTCCAGCCTTTTTTATTTTTTTTTTAATTTTGAAAATTTGCAAATCTACAGAGAAGTTAAAACAACAAATTTTTAAAAAGTGAAACTTACCTGGGCACGGTGGCTCACACCTATAATCCCAGCATTTTGAGAGGCCAAGGCAGGCGGATCTCCTGAGGTCAGGAGTTCAAGACCAGCCTGGTCAACATGGTAAAACCCTGACTCTATTAAAAATACAAAAATTAGCCAGGAATGGTGGTGCATGCCTGCAATTCCAGTTACTTAGGAGGCTGAGGCAGGAGAATGGCTTGAACCTGGGAGACGGAGGTTGCAGTGAGTCGAGATCACACCATTGCATTCCAGCCTGGATAACAGAGAGAGATTCTGCCTCAAAAAAAAAAAAAAAAAAAAAAAAAAAATTACACATATATATGTATATATAACAGTGAACCCCATATAACCTTCACCTGGAGATATCAGTTGTTAGCATTGTGTCCTATTTGCTCTAAAGTGGTACGTGTTTTTCTGGAATTCAGCAAAATTGGAAATAAAAAATTAGAAAAGTGGGCCGGGCACAGTGGCTCGAGCCTGTAATCCCAGCACTTTGGGAGGCCGAGACGGGCGGATCACGAGGTCAGGAGATCGGGACCATCCTGGCTAACACGGTGAAGCCCCGTCTCTACTAAAAAAATACAAAAAACTAGCCGGGCGAGGTGGCGGGTGTCTGTAGTTCCAGCTACCGGGGAGGCTGAGGCAGGAGAATGGCGTAAACCCGGGAGGCAGAGCTTGCAGGGAGCTGAGATCTGGCCACTGCACTCCAGCCTGGGCGACAGAGCGAGATTCCGTCTCAAAAAAAAAAAAAAATTAGAAAAGTTGCAGATAAAAAATTACCATGAACCTGACCTTTTTTTTTTTTTAATTTTAGACTCAAGGGGTACATGTTGAGGTTTGTTACAAAGGTATATTGTGTGGTGCTGAGGCTTAGAGTCTGAATAAATCCATCACACAGGTGGTGAGCATAGTATCCAATAGGTAGTTTTTTTTGTTTGTTTGGGTTTTCTTTTGAGACTGAGACTTGCTATCACCCAGGCTGGAGTGCAGTGGCACAATCTCAGCTCACCGCAAGCTCCATCTCCCAAGTTCAAGCGATTCTCCTGCCTCAGCCTCCCGAGTAGCTGGGATTACAGGCGTGCACCACCAGGCCTGGTTAATTTTTATATTTTTAGTAGAGACAGAGTTTTGTCATGTTAGCGAGGCTGGTCTCGAACGCCTGACCTCAAGTGATCTACCTGCCCTGGCCTCCCAAAATGCTGGGATTACAGGCATAAGCCACGGCACCCAGCCCCAATAGGTATTTTTTCGACCCTTGCCCCCCTCCCTCCTTGTCTGTTTTTGGGGTCCCCAGTGTCAACTGTTCCCATATTTACATCCATATACACTCAATGCTTAGCGCCCACTTATAAGTGAGAACATGTGGCATTTGGTTTTCTGTCTTTGTGTTAATTCATTTAGGATAACGGCCTCTAGTTGCATCCATGTTGCCGCAAAGGACGTGATTTCATTCTTTTATTTATGGCTACATAATATTCCATGGCGTACATGTACCACATTTTCTTTATCCAATCCACCATTGATGAACACCAAGGTTGATTCCATGTCTTTGTTATTGTGAATAGTGCTGCAATAAACATACAGGTGCAGGTGTCTTGCAGATGGAATAGTTTATTTTTCCTTGGAGTACATACCCAGTAATGAACAATGCTCAGTTTCCAAAACTGAGCTGAATTCATACATCTTCACTTTCAGACCTGCCTCCTGCTTCCCATAGGCATCGGTGGCCATGGGAGGGGGGACTTAACAGGGCTACAGACCCCACATCCCATCTGGAACTGAAATCTCAGCACCTTCCCACTCTCTCATCCTATCTGTGCAACGGAGAGGAGGGACATAGCACCCGCACCCATAGGCTGCCCAGGTCCACTCTTGGTGAGCCATTTACTACCTGCATGAGCTTGGGAAAGTAACCTTCTCTCTCTGAACCTCTGCTTCCTCAGCTGTGAAACAAAACAAAACAAACTGAGTAGCTGGGTATGGTGGCTCACACCTGTAATCTCAGCACTTTGGGAGGCTGAGGCACCTGGATCACTTGAGGTCAGGAATTCAAGACCAGCCTGGCCAACATGGTGAATACTCATCTCTACTAAAAATAGAAAAATTAGCCAGGTGTGGTGGTGCATGCCTGTAACCCCAGCTACTTGGGAGACTGAGGCAGAAGAATCACTTGAACCCAGGAGGCAGAAGTTACAGTGAGCCCAGATTGTGCCATTGCACTCCAGCCTGGGCAACAAGAGCAAAACAACTCTGTATTAAAAAAAAAAAAAAATGGGCCGGGCGTGGTGGCTCACGCCTGTAATCCCAGCACTTTGGGAGGCCGAGGTGGGCGGATCACAAGGTCAGGAGATCGAGACCATGGTGAAACCCCGTCTCTACTAAAAATAGAAAAAATTAGCCGGGCGCCTGTAGTCCCAGCTACTCGGGAGGCTGAGGCAGGAGAATGGCGTGAACCCGGGAGGCGGAGCTTGCAGTGAGCCGAGATTGCGCCACTGCACTCCAGCCTGGGCGACAGAGCGAGACTCCGTCTCAAAAAAAAAAAAAAAATGAAATGACCACCTACCATGTGCAAACTATCCTTTCATTATTTCCAGTCCACCAATGAGGGCAACTGAGGCAGACATCCTAGCAACTGCCCAAGATCATGAAACCAACGGGTATGAGGCTGGGATTAGAAAACAGGGTGGCATCTGGTCAAGCCCATGTTCTTTTTTTTTTTTTTTTTTTTTTTTTTTTTTTTGAGATAGGGTCTTGCTCTGTTACCCAGGCTGGAGTGCAGTGGTACAATCATGGCTCACTGTAGCCTCAAACTTCTGGGCTCAAGCAATCTTCTTGCCTCAGCCTCCCAAGTAGTTGCAGGTGTGCACTGCCACACTCAGCTAATTTTTAACCTTTTTTAAAAATAGAGACAGGGGTCTTGCTATGTTGCCCAGGCTAGTCTCAAACTCCTAACTTCAAATGATCCTACCACGTCAGCCTCCCAAAAGTTCTGGGATTACAGGTGTGAGCCACAGTGCCCGGCTCAAGTCTGTGTTCTTATCCATCACTTATGTGCCCTCCCCATGGGACAACTCTTGGGATGAACTGGGTTAATATATGTAAAATGCTTGAAACTAATTCTGGCATATAAAAAGTTCTAAAAGAGAAAGACAGTGGGAGAGAGAAAACATGAGCTATTGCTACATCAGCTTCCCATCAGCTACATCATAATTCTCTCTTTGCAGCTCTTCCCTCTTAAGTTTCTTCTTCTCTCTCTTCCTCCAACCATAGAAGAGTGATGGCTGGACTTGAAGCAAGACAGAAGGCTGGCCCTGTCACTTTGCAGAAACCAAGAAATCCAAACGCATAGAGATGCAAAGAGATAGTTGGACGCAGATACACTAAGTCACAGAGAGAGGAGTCTGGTGGGAGCTTGATATGGTTTGGATGCATGTCCCTTCCAAATCTCATGTTGAAATGTTATCCCCAATGTCAGTAGTGGGGCCTACTGGCACTGGGTCATGAGGGCAGATCCCTCATGAATGGCTCAGCACCATCCCCTTGGAAATGAATGAGCTCTGACTCAGTTAGTTCACGGGAGACCTGGTTGTTTCAAAGAGTTGAGGCCAGGCAAAGTGACACACGCCTCTAACCCCAGTACTTTGGGAGGCCAAGGCAGGAGGATCGACTGAGCCCAGGAGTTTGAGACCAGACTGGGCAACATAGTGAGACCTCCCTGCTCCCGTCTCTACCTAAAGTTAAAAAAATT